TGCCAAATGATTTTTAAAGTCAAGAGAAAAGGAACATTTGGTCGGACGTAGAAAACTGATTTTCAAAATTTTGTTTATTTTTGCCCYTCCCCCTCCTTTTTTTCCCTTTAGGGCTTCCATAATTTATTCCTGAGTTTGTGAACATTTTAAAACATGAACACTCACTAAAAAAACAACAACAACTAATTTTTACATTAAAATACTCAGTTTTATTAAGGTGAGGTACTGGACTAAACTAAACTAAGATTTATTACTAATTATTTAATAAAAGATTAACTAATTAATACTATTCTCAACAAAAACAACTTCTGAACCTTCATTTAATAACGTTTGCTGAAAGTTTTGTCTCAAATCTGTAAAAATGTTCAGAAAATGTCAACTTTTGGGACGGATGAACATATTTAAATCKCCTCAATCATTTAACATTTTATACGTTAAATCACGACTTATTCAAACATTTTAAAGAAGAGATTTTAAAAAGTGACCTGGTGATGTTTTTAGGAACRGAGCCCTGGATGAAGATGGACGCCCCGTCCCTCAGGCCGCCATGAATCGGGCCGAGATAGGGAATACTCTGCAGGAAAGAAACAAGCAGGAACCTTTATTTAAACCCAGTAAAGCTTGAATCGGGACTCGGCAGGGAGCAGGTACTTACAGGGTTGTAAACGGGCTGGTATCCTTCAGGAGCGACAAACATGACGGCAKGAGGTGACGAGGGAACCACAGGAAACGTTTCACCTCGTTTCACTTTATACCAGCGTGGAGGGAGGAAACCAAACTCTAAACTGCTTCAATGTTTACTTTGGTGGCACCAGCTGAACCTTTGACCCTGCAGAGGAGCGGCCCTCTGCGTTATAAAAACTCATGGTTTTATTTCACGTTAATCATCTGTAATGTGCTGAGGCTTTCAACATTTTCTTCAAACCAGCTGCTGATTTAGAGGTTGATCAGCTGACATTACGTCGCTGTGATGGAGGAGCTGAAAGTTTAAAGCTTCTGATATAAACTTTAACAGAACATCTCTGATCCGTTCAGGTGATAAAAACCATAAAGACTTTGTGTGAAACTTGACCGGCAGGTGAGCCGATCCATCAGCTCCACTCCCTGCTGAATACCTGCGACTCTGAAAACACAAACCTTACGTTAAAGCAAACAGTCACAGAATCGGTGTTTATCCAGGAAACCAATCAAATTTTCATCTTTTACAGACTCTTCATCGAAGCTTTGATAAACGAAGCGTGTGAGGCGAACACAAGAACTTAAGTCCTTCAGAGAACAAGAGCTGAGCTGGCAGGTGAATGCTGGGTGTTTCCTGATAAATCTCACAGATGTTTACTTTTCATATCGGAACACGATAAAGTTCAGGTAAAAAATAAAAAAAGACGCCAACTCCTCGACACCAGAATCAAAGAGTAACACATTATACTAACTAAACTTTAATCATTAATAAATGGTTAGTTAACCTTGAAAACATCATTATTAATGCTTTAAAGGATCCACGATTAGTTGTAACATGCGTTAATAAACATCTATTTTAACTATAAAATAAAGACTATAAAAATACTGTAGGCTGTTGAAAATTTATAATTTTTAAAAATATATATTACAAGGACGGGGCCATTTTATTTACACACAAAGCATTCTGGGTAAATGATGACGTGGATAGGTCCTCGG